GGGGGGGGGGGGCAAGGCAGGTTGTGCCTGCACCCTTGATAATTAGTATTGTTTTTTATGCTCTCTTGGGCTCTCATGGTGAGGATTTGGTATCTTTGTAGAAAAGTCAGTGATCACAAAGTGGCCAGTGAATTTTGATCTTTAAATTTGAAATTGTAATTTGCCTGCCCCTGATTCTAAGACTGTATTGTTTTGTCCAGATGCAAAGAGACTCACTTTCAGAATATAAGCAGAGAAGTTATACGTTTAATGATGAATATTGAAATTGGATTTTAAAATTTGTTTGTTATAGTTATTGTTATAGTGATTTTTAGTCTAGAGGTTTAATACACCAACTGAAGTACATGGGAAAACATGTTTAGATTATAATTAAATTACAAAACTTGGACATAGAAACTTGCATTGAAATTACGACTATAGCAATGGAAACATTTTACCAGTAGTCATGAAGATGAGAGGCAGGGAAAAAAAAAAGAAAGAAAGAAAGAAAAAAAAAGTAAGGTCAGCGTTTTGTGTTAAAAAATTACTGTAAGACCATAATTCACCTTACCAAGAATTCTATATGTGAATATTTAATTTTTTTCATATTGTGTATGATTTTCTGTGCTTCACATTTTTCTTGCATGGAATCTTTCTGCACATCTTATTTTCCCATTCAGCATTTCATTCGAATGGTTATATGAACAAAGTGTCTCATGAATTTCAGGCAGTGTTAAAGAGTTTCAATGATCAATGGCTTAATTCAGCAAGCTTGATTGGTATTGGCATTAAGAAATGCTGCAATGTTCTTTGCATCAAATGCTTTCTATCATTCCAAAAGGACATAAGGTTCTTTAAAAATGTAATGAAAGAAGGGGTAGGACATTTGGGACAGTGTTCTTCCAAGAGTGTGTTCTGAGCATTACTCAACATTAAGGTCTTTTTCAGTGTTTTTTTCACTTTTACTTACAATCTATTTGAAGTAGTCTTACAATCTGCAGTACACATTAAGACATGTCATTTAACTTGGGAATAGTTTTTAATACTCTGTAAGAGTTCTATGCAACTCAATAACTTTATCAATATTAGCACAATAAATAGTACCCACATCATAAACATTTTAGAGCAGGTGATCCAGACCCATGTAGCAGCACTGAGTATGCTCTGAATTCAAGTGCAGATATCAGGTTTCATATTCACAACCAAACAAAAATTAGAATTGTTGGAATATATATTAATTTTTCTCTTCTGTAGATGAAGGTTTTTGTAATATTATTGAAGTATAATAGGGGAAACATTGAAAAGGAGTAATTAATGTTTTGGTAGGATACTGTCAGGATCAGATTATGTATTTCGAAGAAGACCAGCTAAAAATTAAAATATGGGTCATTCCAAGTCCAGTGGTCTACGCCTCCCCGAGAGACCATCTCCCAAAACGCTTCTCCCAAATTAGCCACTTAACATAGAATGAATGACCTATATGAATATTTCATTGGTTTGATATTTTTGGATATTCTTATTTAAATATGTGTCTTTGAGTACTTTCAAAACTAAGAGATTGGAATGACCCATTCTATACTTTTAATAGCTTCACCTTTTGTCATATTTATTCACATGTGTTGACAATCAAGTTTGTAAGTGCGTGTGTGAATATTCTTTGAAATATTTTGCACATGTTGATGCATTCATGCTTGTATACTTTTAATGAACTTTCTTAATTTTTTATTTGATTTTTGGGGAGAGAAAGGAATATGTTTGGCAGGAATACATCCTATCTTTGTGGTTGTTAAAAAATAAATAAAGATAATGCAAACAGTGCTAGAATTCTGAGATATTAATTTGTTTCTTCTAATCTGGCAAATTATGAAATTCCTGCTTTCCTAGTTGTGAACAGTCGTTAAGTTTTTTTGCACACCTATATTTTTCAAAAGAATGCAATGACAAAATTACAGTTACTTCTATTTTCTAAAGTCCACTTCAAATTTAAAATATTGTTGATCACGTTTTATTTCATTATTTTACAATCTTTGCAATGACTGTTAAAATTAAATGTTGGTGATAATTAAGAGAAGTATTGGGGATTTTGTTTTAATCAAGAAGTCATAAGATATTTAACACTTGTATTCCTGATTATATAATTAATGATTAGGATTGATTTGCATACTGATATATGTTATTGTATTATATGTAATTTATCCTGGTATTTTAAGACATTAACATTCTTTTGTATTATTTCTCTGGGAATGACTCTGTGCATGATGTGTATCAGAATAACTCTTGAAGGAAAGCCTCTAACTAGTTGGTCTGTATCTTCAGCTAGTACACCAGAACCTGCAGCCAAAGATCTGAGTATGGGTGGCTCACGTGGTTTGTCAACATCTACACCCACTCCAGGCACCTCCCCAGCCAGTGCACTTGCGTCCCTTGGCTCACTGTCGGCAGGCATTGGGGCAGCTACTACTCCTGGCATAACTGATCGTATATGTGAGTATGGCTGAGTTAGGACTGCAAAGGAATCATTTTGACTGCAATCATTTAAAATCTTGACTAATGATCTCCTTTCTAGTGTTTTAATAGTTTATGTAAATTCATTCAATTTTTATAAATATATTTTTGTGGGAGTACAGGTGATATTTTTAGAGCTATGAAGCATCAAGCTGAAGCTGTTCTGGAACAATCTGTTTCAGCTCTCTGATTTATTGCGTTGTAAAACATAATTTTATTTATTTAATCAGAGTATAGTGTCCTCTAACCTAACCCCAAAAAGTAGATGCCAGATATATTTCATTGCTGTTTTAGTTACAACTTACAACTCTTCTTTTTCAAAAATTAACCTATATTATGCATAAAATATACATACATACTCTCATGCTCATTCCCATCCGCCTGCATGCATCCTTTACCAATGTGCACTTGAAGAAACATTTATTCCAAAACCAAGATAATGTACAATCTTTTCAATGTACAGTGTATAAATTTCTTTATTGATTAAAACTGATTGATAAATTTAAGTTCCACATCAGCGAAACCTTATGTATTACAAGATGTAACCCTGTTGAATTCAAATTCTCATTGTTTGTAATAATGAATAGTAGGACACAATTTAATACTAAATTTAAGTTTTTGTTTCAATTTCAAATTTCCTTCATTATTAATAATAGGTTTCTGAACCTATTTATTAGACCACGAAGTGATTTTATCGAGACTCTTTTAATGCCACCAGGTGAAATTTTGGGCTATATATGTTTGTTGCTATATCCCATGAAGAAATTGAATTTGTTTCCTTCCTTAGTCCCTAGATATTTGTTATAGCCGTTTCGACACACTGCGTCGACAGACTTAACTATGCTTCATTAGCTTCAATATAATGCCCATTCATTATTATATGCCCACATTTTGTTGATCTCTTCATTTCTCAGTTGGGGTAGGTTCAGAACTGGGGATATGGGTAGCTATGTAGTTAGAAATACTAAAAATATAAATATGTAGTTCATTTACTGATGCACATTAGTTTTCTATTACACAGGATTAAAAATGTATAGTTTTTCAAATGTTGCTAACCTCACTTTGTTGGTACTTTTATTCATTATTCAACAGTGAACGGGTGAGAAAGAAATTCTGGAGGTCAAGAAAACATTGGCAGATTGTACTTCTTCACCATATGTCGCTTACAGTTTTTACTATTCTTTGACAAAAGTAATTTGGATTGGATTGGAAGATGATGTTTGATGCTAATTGTGTAGGCTGGAGTCTTGTCATGCAATTTAGGTGTTTCCCAGTCATGTGGCATTTACTTTTGTCAAGTTTGATATATCAATGCTGTGATCAGTACTTACGTATAATTTGCAATATTAAAAAAAAAATCAACTTTAATTCAATAGAGGTAAAGACTCAAGAAATTACTGTTAATAAGCGAATAATTTTGAGATTTTATGGGACAATATCAATATGGAAAATTATGCATTGAGATTTCATTGAGTAACTTATAAAGTTTGGCTGTGCATGATTTTTAGCTTAGTGATTTTATGTATTGAAATTAAAATATCACATTTAGAGTTTGTTGAATTTGAATTGTGGACAGAGTGTCTTTTCAACATTGATGTAATTAGCAACTAAAAGATTGCCATTTATTGCTACTTAAGCATGTCTATATTTCTCTTACTCTAAAGTTACAAATACTTTTGTTTTAGGGTTGGGTTGATTCCTTTTCTGACGCTTCAATGTTTTTTCTTATGGTTTGTCCAGCACGGCGTAAACCAGGCTCAAAGCCTCGGCGAGTAATTCAGAGTCCCTCACCAGTGACAGTGCTAGGGAACTCTGCACCAACTGCAACCATTGGTGCCAGTGTTTCTCCCAGTCCCACTGGATCACCAAGTGCCCCCCTGGGAAGTCTAGCTACCAGCATCCCAGCAGCACCTAGCGCCTCTCTGGCCCAGCTGTTTGCTGCTGCAGATGCACCACGTCCTGCCAGCCGCAGTGGCACTCTTCCTGCTGTGACAACTCCCACCCCTGCTGACACTGATTCAGAATCCCCCCCAAAGGTACGCTGAATACTGTTTTCTATTTTATTGCCCTATTAGTATGTTCATCTTTGACAAAACATAGACAAAGATTACTAAAGTAGGGAACATTCTCAATAAGATTATTACATGTGTTTGATAAAATGGTAGGAATAGACTCCCACTTTATATTTAACTTGGCATTCGTCCATTTTTAACTAATACTTACCACTCAGTCTCATTAAAATCACAAATTGTCATGTTGATGAGAAAGCTAAGTCTTTCTGTCTTTGCTAATATAATTTTCTTCTTTTTTCCTTTTATTAATTATAATCATTGTTATCATCATTGTCATTATCTTTGTCACTACCATCTTCATTTTCACTTGTATTATTGTGTCTTTTCTCTCTGATTCTCTTTCCATACCATTGAACCTCACAATGCAGAAAGGGGACATGTTCACATTTTGGCTACTTTAGTGTTATGATTGGTATGCCTCTGTATTTCTCTGTGCAAAAAGTTGTTTTGCAGTATATTACATCCAGATGCTGCTAATGTATCTGCAGAAAAAGTTACAAAATAAAATATTAATAAGACTTCTTGCCAACCGAATTTTATATCTACTGTAAAGTTGTGAAAATGTAAGATGTGCCTCTTCTGTGTTGGATGATTCAGTTGTCGTTTGAATTTTAGGTCCCCTTGAAAGCTTTGAATTTATGTTTTTGGTCTTTTCATCTAATGTACCTAACAATGTTCCATTCTGTGATACCAAATTTTCTGATGGCAAAAAATTTGGCCTTGGCTCTTTAAATAACTATTAACTAGAAATTCACATTGTTTAATATCTGCACAATCGAGTTGTGAATTCAAACTCATTGATCCCTGTACCTTAACAAGGCTATCATTTCCAGAAATTTTCATGTTGCGTTTCACTTTAAAGCCATTATTTGAGATTTTCCCTTTACTGGCTTGAATGTCAAGAGACCATTCCTGATATAATTAGGTATTGCAGTGATGCATAGTGAATTTTAGGCTTTTCCACTTATTGGTACATTAGCATTCGTTTCTTGTCTGAGAAAGTCCATTTAAAATATTAATCCCAACCAAACGGGCTTAAGCTATGAATGTAACATGACCCCATATTAAGTAATGTTTTAAAGAATAAAACATCTTGTTTTCAGGTTAACCTGGTAATTAAACATTTAGTGAGGCATTTAAAATAGTAGGTAAAAAAGAAACTTTATGTGGAAATTTCCACCCTCTTGCTTAAGACTTCAATTCAGATAATTTATGCCTTTTTTTAACCTTAGCAGAATTGTAAGAGAAGTTTCATCTTTTTCTAGAACAATGTGTTATTGGATTCTGAAATGCACGTGGTGTCATCATTGACCATCAAGTGTTATATGGCAACCCCGCTCATTACATATGCATTTACTTCACAATTGCTCTGTCTAATGCATCACTAAAATTATTGAAAAATATTATTAGTTAACTCATTGTTTTGATATAAAATAAATTTTGTGTGAGTGCATGTATGCTTGCATGTATGTGTGTTTGTATGCATGCATGAGTGTATGCGTGCATGAGTGTATGCGTGCATGAGTGTATGCGTGCATGAGGTGTTTGCGGTTGCATGGAGTGTTGGTGCGTGCTAATGAGATGTGTTGGTGATGATGTGTAGCGTGCATGAGTGTGTGCGTGGCACTGAGTGTGTGCTGTGATTATAGTGTGATGCGTTGCATGAGTGTGTGCGTGCATGAGTGTGTGCGGCTGAGTGTGCGTGATGAGATGTGTTGGTGCATGAGTGTGTGCTGCATGAGTGGTGCGTGCCATGAGTGGTGCAGTGCATGAGTTTGTGCCGTGCTGAGTGTGTGCGTGATAGTGTGTCTGTGCATGAGGTGTGAGCGTCATGAGTGTGGATGCGTGCAGAGTGTGGTAGCGTGATGAGTGGTGTGCGATAGCATAAGTGTAGTGCGTGCATGAGTGTGTGCGTGCATGAGTGTGTGCGTGCATGAGTGTATGCGTGCATGAGTGTATGCGTGCGTGTATGAATGCTTGCGTGTATGTATGTATGTATGTATGCTGGCGCGTATACTTGCAGGCACGTAGGCTTGCAGGCACGTAGGCTTGCAGGCGCGTAGGCTTGGAGGCGCGTAGGCTTGCAGGCGCGTAGGCTTGCAGGCGCGTATGCTTGGAGGCGCGTATGCTTGGAGGCGCGTATGCTTGGAGGCGCGTATGCTTGGAGGCGCGTATGCTTTCTTGTGTGTATGCACTTGGCGGGACAGTCCTTGAATGGGCTCAGGCCTACCAGCGACTTCCCAGCCTCATGGCCAAGGTTTAAGGAGGTACGTGTGGTTAGCATGTAGCCATTCCCACGTATTCTAGCCTTCTCAATCTGAGAAGTGAATTTTCTCGTTGTCACACAGCAACATATACCGGGACATTGCAAGGAATACTCACACTATAGTCTCGACTTGACCGGCAATCGGACCCAGGGCCATGAAGTGGAAAGCAAGCATGCTGACGAAGAGCTAGCCAAAAGCCATATAAATTTTGTGGAAAAATTAATCGTGGTTTTTGTGAAAACTGATCTTTCTATTCTATTTACCTATAGAGTTCTCTGTTATGTTTCTCCCATTTCCAGTAAAAATTCTCTCAAATATCTTAATGGTACCTATAAACTATAGTTTTTCTTTATATTATGTCTTCATTTCTTAGGATTCTTCTCATCGGGACAGTGGATCAAGATCGTCATCTGCAGAAGGCCGACCTAGGAACCTAGGACGTGGTGTCTCTAAACCCAAGAAGAACACCGTTGCCTCCCTGTTGGCACAGAGCAGGGCGCTTGGCATCAAACCAACACTGGACGCCACCTCTGGTAACGTGACAGTCAGTGTTGGGAATACGGTTGCTGCTGCCGCTGCTGCTGCTGCTACTGCTGCAAGCAGTGTTGGAAGTGGCAGTGGTGGTAGCAGCAGCAGCACCATTGGGAGCGGGAACACGAATGGTGGTGGTAGTGGTGGTGGAGGAAGTGGAGGAGGAGGTGGAGGTGGAGGAGGCGGCAGCACCGGCGGCGGGGGCAGTGGTGGTAGCAGCAGCAGCAGCAGCAGCAGCAGTAGCAGCAGCAGCAGTAGTGGAGGTGGCAACAACAGCATCGGTGTGACAATGCTGACTCCAGCTGTCCCAGCCCCACCGCCGCAACACCAGCTTTCCCTCCTGAAGCCAAGTGTCCTGGCCAAGGCAGCTTCGCCGCCGGCAGGTGCGCACGCTGCCAAGCAATATTGTCCTGCGCATTAGGCGTGCAGTTTGCTGGCGTGCATTCACCCCGATCCTTGACCCTTAGTTATCTAGTAGATTACGTAGCACAGTTTATCAAGAAGGAGAAAAAACAAGACATATTATGTTATTTTCATTCTTTCTTTACTTCCTTTATACTATTTTTTTCTGTTGCTTAGGACGACATGTTTAGGAATATAGTAATTTATGTAACTGTGTAGAAGCTTCTAAATTTGTGTTCTTTTTTTAAAAATCTGGTCTTGACTAATAAGAGATACATAATGAAAAAATTCTATAAATTAATGTTGGTGGTGTTCAATTCTTATATTTACAGTTATAAATTTAAGAACAACATATTTTCCTGGCCAATGCTTATTTGTTTTTATCTTCTCATTCTCACAAATCTGACTGTTGGATCGAAAGATTATCAGATTATGAATGAAATTCAATATTGATTTTTATAATTTATGACATTTATAATGCAAGGACTTAAAGGCTCTATGATTTAATTTCTATATTTATAAATTAGGAGTGTGATGCAATAAATTACTTGGAACATAGCTTTGTCTCTGTGTTGTATTATTTTCATATCGTAAGCATTGTGCTAGTAGCATCACTTATTGTAGCTACTTGGATGTAAATATTAGATATCCGGGAATTGACATGAGTTGAAAATGACTATTACTTTTATTTTATTAAGTGCTTTAGAATTTTGTTTTGGTCCTCGAAGTTGGTACTTTGGATACTTGTAATATTGTATAACAAATATGAATAATTAGAGATTTAAAGAAAAATGTCATTATTATTTTTTTATTTAAGGTCGTATCAATTTCTATGTCGTTAGCAACCACTCTTGCTTGTAACGGTATGGTATCTGTGAGGATGTCACGATATGATGATGATAGGGGGTGAAAGAACGAACACAATACAACCGAGGCGGAATTCGAATCCTTTGGTCTGAGATCGCTATTGCACTACTGCCTTAGTGATCTTGGCCACTGGATCAGACGAGATTTTTTGTGAGAGTAATTTGCATAAAAATTTTACTTAAAAATATTCATTTATTTCTATACAGTGGTCAGACAATTTCCTGGTTACATCAATGATATAACTTGGTTTATTGATATTTGTAAATATAAATGTGTTTTTGTTCATTCAAATCATATTTTCTGAGCGGAGCCTTGTCACAGGGTGTTGTTGTATGAAAGATCTTATTTGTGTTCTGTACTGAAAATCTTTTGAAATTATATTTGATGTTTTTCCAATAAGTTTATTTATCATATTGGAGAAGTAATATAATAATTAATACATATATGCATGTACATACAGAAAGTTATGTTTTGTTGCATAAAAATGCTGTTGAGATTTCAATGGAAATACATTTTTGGTAGACATCTGACTATCCATTCTTGACTGTCCATTTGTTTGTCGTCTGTGAACATACACATTAAACATAAACATTTTTCCCTAAAGGGTATTCCGCAATCAATAAAGCTGAACCAGAGGCATTGTGAATTTGAAACGGATCTATCTTTTAATTTTTGGAAATACTTACATGAAGCCCCCGAAGCATTTTCAAAAATGCCTTCAAATCTTTTTAATTTTTTTGTTCAAATGGAGCAAAGTGTGCTTTTAAATTTGGTATATATGCAATTTTTTTTTAAAACCTCTGAATTTTCAAAAATTGCTTAACTTTTAAAAGTTGTTTCATCTATCTCCTGCAAGTACGTTATTGAAGCTACAATTTTTTATGTTTTTGAGTTATATTGTGTCAATTTTGTATCTTAGGTGTTAGAACCACATCGATATTGAAAATTCATAGCAGCTGAACCATATAAGAACCATTTGCTGTGTAGATAAGATCTAACTTTGGAAAACTAGATGCTAGTGTTCAATTCCCATCCCAAACAAATGTTTTCTTTAAATCTTTTTGATAGTGCACAGGACATTGAATTCTATGACAGATGTGTCATTTTCATTAATACTTTTGAAATTTGAAAATTTAAAGATGTGTAATTTTTAAAAATGTTGTCAATTTAATTTGATGAAGAAAGTTTTTCAAAAGATGGCCAAAGTGTTTGTAGGAATAAAGTTGCAAATTTGTAATATTATATAACTTACAAGTAACACTAGGAATTTCTAATTTCATATTTGATAGGGTAGATTATTATTGAATATCTGAATATTGAGAGTGCAATTTTTAATTGCAAAATAAGATTTTCTATTGTTTAGTATAAGCCATCAGCAAGAACTCTTAATTCAAAAGGTTGAACACAGAGTATTTCTGTTTATACAAAATGAAAAGTGTGAAGGAGAGTTTATTTTTTTCTCAATCAGTAACCAATAGTTAATACTTTATGTTGCTACACTTGTCTTGCTGTTGTCAAATGCTCTTCTGATCTACTTCACAGAGATTGAGGAAGTGTCTTTTTTGTTGTAGATCGTGATCGAGAACCTGCTGAAGCAACTGAAGCTACTGCTAGTGTAACTTCGAGTGAAGAGGGAGAGAGGGCTTCCACTCCTGCCAGGGTTTCTACTCCTACGCCAACTTCAATGATTGGTGGCAGTATTCCTGCACCTCTTACTCCTACTTTGAATACAACAGAGGACAAAGAAGCCAAGAAGCGACCATTGGTAAGACTGTATTTAACTTTGCTTTGTAGCGAGAAGAACGCAAGCAGTGTGTTGTTTTATTATCTTTTATTCATTTTACTAAAAGTAATGGTGTTGTGTGTAACAATATTTATGTTGTGAATCAAACAATAATTTCTTGTTGTTAATTTGAATTGTTTTCCATATTTTTTTCAGGATGGAACAAAAACGGAGGATACTAGCGGTCAATCTAGTCGTCAGAGAACTGGTGATGGTGTAAGTGAAGATAGTAGTGCAGGTCCTGATGTGAGCAGTGATTCTTGCTCTGCATCAGAAGCATTTCCATCTGACAGTGAAGAGGATGGAGAGGATGGCATAGAGGGTGGCAAGCAGGATGGAGAGGAAGGAGGTGGGAAATGTTCTAATTCTCTAAAACTGATTCAATGTTTTGACTGGCCTTGTAGTTTGCAAAATTCTCATCTTAGTGAAGAATGATTGTTTTTTGCGTCTTCTAATTTCAAAAGCTAATAATAATAATAATAATAATAAAAATGGATCTCATTATTTGTGCTGTAGAGTGCAGAGTTCAGTGGAGAAATATAACATTAGATCTCATTTTGTTTGTGAATAACCTATATTTATGTACTGTAGATATGTTTTGTGCCTTCACATCCAACCAAACTAATGCAATGTCAAAAGAAAGAGAATTGCATGGAGAGGCAGAGACAAATTACCCCTTCACTATGTAATATCAATATTTATTGTATTAAGTGTTAAAATGGAGCAGATGCAAATGCAGAACCATAATACATGGGGCCGGTTGCATAAAGCTTTCCATATGGGCTCCATAGCTATGGGTTCAATAAAATTTATAGGTTCCATAGGCTATGCACTGTTGCATAAAGCAAATTTAGGGAATCTATAACTATAGATTCAATAAGAACTTCGAGAGGCTACAAATAAATAACAACACAGTCGATATTTGAATACTACGTATTCCTTATAGTGTTTTGCACATTTTTAGCATGTGTTGCATTTACTCGAGGTGTTTTTGGTTGTGTTTCTTAATGTGTTCTCAGTAGCAATTTTGTTTTTATTTCATTATTCTCATTTTAGTTTATTTTTTGTTAAATTCGTATAGTATTGTATATACAATTACTTCTTTATACTAGCCATTGCCTATTTGTATTTAAATAAATTAATTTACCTTCCATTCTTAAATTTAAATATTAACTTTTGCTGATACAATTAATAATAAATTATAATTAATAATGAACTGCTAATCAAATCCCTTTGGAATACAAAGTAATAATTAATTTGCTATCTAAACAATTAAGTAATATGTATTAATACAAGTAGAGCCCAAAAGTTAAGGCATTTAATTCGGCAAATATAGGCAGGCAATAATGCACTAAAATATGTCATGAGTTTAAAGAAAAATAATTAGAGGATATTATTAAAATTATTCAAATTTTATTTGTAATACTGATATTAATACTAGCACTTACAAGGAAATGTTTTCATGATTGGTTCATCAATAAATATTGTAATCTTCATTGGTTATCTATTTATTGGAAAGAAATGGTTTCACTACTGAAAATTGTTGTTAATGACAAACCAAGTTTCTGCATTATGATTGCAAATTAAATTCACTGATGATTCTACGAAGGGTTAAGTGTGGGCTGAACTACTATTTTACGAATCTTTGAATTTTAGCATAATTGAAAATCTATTGTTTACATTTATTGTACTCATTTACTCACCAGTACATTACACAACTTTATTCTACTTCGTATCATGTACGAAGATGTCCTCAAAAGGGATTGGATGCCACATGTAAGTATTGGATGGAAGTTGATTGATATTGATGCTTGGTGAATAAGAATTGAAAAAAGGATAAAGACAAAATATTATAGAAAAAGTTAACACATTTTCACAACCTAATTTAATCCTACTTCTCGTCACAACAATGGAAAAATAATGTATGAATATAGAATTCATACATTACAAACACATACAAATACACCTAAAATGAACATCAAATAAAATTTGTAAAAGCCACCAAAGCACGACACAACACGACACGACACGACACACGACACGACACACGACACGACTCGACACGACACGACAGGACAGGACACGACACGACAGGACAGGACAGGTCAGGTCAGGTCAGGTCAGGTCAGGTCAGGTCAGGTCAGGTACTGCCAATAACCTCAAACAAACAAAACAGTTGTAGCAGTGCGCAGAGCCACCATGTTGCTTATTTGTTAAATCCATAGGCATTTGTAGACCCGTTTCAGGACCTATAAATTAGAGAAAGCCTTATAGGTTCCATGAGTCTTATTGGTTGTTCTAGAAACACGTTTTGCTGCTGTGGAATATTTTATAGAACCAATAAGCTAGTGGATTCCGTATCGAACGATTATGCAACCGGCCCATGGCAAACTTGTTTTGGCATTGCTCAATGTTGTTAGGTGTACAATAATTATTGTACATTTACGATAAATCATTAATATACACATATTATGTTTAACATACAAAACAGTTATGATAATCATACTATAATGTGGCAGATTTGTACCACAATAATATTTTATGTGATTTCAAGAAATTTAAGTAACTAAAGAAATTTGATTAAACATTCTGAAAATGTGTTGAAAATAGGATTTTCAGACCTTTACACAGAAAGTCGGAAAATTTTTATATTGACCTTGTAAAATAACTTTCTGAATCCCTATAAAATGTGGGAATGTTCATTTATTATTCTCGTTGATGAAGAATGCAATTTTATCTCTCCCCCACACAATGTCACCATTGAGAATAATAAACAAACACACAATTTCTTAAAAACCATGTAAGAATGGATATTTTTGAGAATGTTATGAAAATGTGTAGATCATTTAGTTATTTCTCTTGTATTTTTCAAGATTTTCAAGAAAATGATTTCTGAGATACTCAGAAAGTTATTTTCACATGGTTATGATTAACAATTTTCCAGACTTTCTCTACAAAAGTTTGAAAAGTCCCATTTTTAAAGTATAATTTTGTACAATATTTTTATTAATGTACAGTAATTTGATTGCCACTGTACGATAATTTTGCGATAATGAGAGATGGCACAGTACCTTATTTACTTTTAGCTATCTGGCAACTGATGGTGACCTTGCTTAGCTCCAAAACAGTACATCCTAGGACCTTAAAGGTAGATTTTTCAAGACCAAAGGCCTTTAGTAATACTAGTATTTATTTTCTCATGAACTATAATAAAGAATGAGATTTTTCGAGACATATTACATTTTTGGGGTTTGGCTGTCCTGGATTCCCTAACCCTGTGGTAAGAAAGGGGCATGGAGTATTTTGAATTTTATTAAAACCTATTTTGCGAGTATATTTTTCCATTCCTACAGATATGGGGGTAAGGGGAGGTAGTTCTCAGATGAATATGCTAGTATCACTGAAGTTATATAATGTGGATATTTATGTTTAGGTACAATTATTTATTTATTTATTTATTTATTTATGTATTTAAAATGCATCACTTACTTATTATTTATTTATTGTTTGGACTCTGTAGCTGGTTGGTAAAACCCTTTATTACAACAGTCAATGTGAAGGGCTTCTTTACCTATTTCACCAATTTTGACCTTCAATCTTGCTGCTTCAGATGGTATCAGACAAATTTGAATTCTCTTTTGATGCTTATTCTACTAAATAAATTTTTCTGGAGTAACTCAATGGTCCCCGAGATTCTTTAATTAAAGTACTTTTTTTCTCATGTAAAGGCCATCTTTGTCACAATAATTTGAAGCAAAAAAAAATCTCTTGTATAACACAGTGAAGTTCACAAAACAGTACAGGAATCGAGCAGTTAGGAGGAAGTTCGACATTGATGACAAAATGTGAGATGGTGGATTCAAGATAAAACAGTGTTGGAAAAGGCCAATCGCAATAAATGTGCATATCGAAGCTGAAAAAAGTAAATATCAGGGTTGTTGCTGTGTTCTGTAATTATTATTGGTGGGTTCAATCATGCTTTACGGGTGCGTTACAGGAGATTCAAAATACTCCAAATTTTCCGTTATGTAATTATGGACAGCTCCTACTCGACAAATTGGAGATCTACTCCTACGCACAGCAGCAAGCATTCATAAACTAGGCTTCCTTCCAAGCAAGAAAAATTCCAAAACAAGAACTCTTTGTAGCAAATGTACATGAAGAGAAGGGAAGGAATGTCATTTCTCTCATCATAACATTTCTCATACTCAAAAGCTGATCGATGTGCCAGAATGAACAGAGATACCAGCCTTCAACACTGGGGTTCGGACGTCGTCAAGGTCAGGTTGACTTGTCGCCACCCACCCGCCCAGTCAGAGGCAGTGGCTCCTGAGGCAGGGAAGTTGGGGTGCGAAGAGAGGGATACCTCCATCTGCCACTTCGCGCATGCCCAGTCCAGGTTTTTTTCTAAGTTGGCGTTAAAAAACAGATCAGTCATGCGCATTCTTCTTATTTAAGCATTTGGCCATTATTGTTAGCACATTTACCTTTTGACAGTTTTTTCTTTACTTCTTATCTTAATGTGTTGAAATTAAATATTTTGAATAATTTAAAATTAATATAAAATTGCTTTAATTTTCTGTGCAGGCCCTGCTACCAAGCGTCGACGCCTTGAACAGGATGAGAAAGAACTTCGAATACCTTTGGAGCAAGGCTGGCGTCGAGAAACGGTAATTTCTGGTGTTAGTCGTACGGGCGTAGTACGAGGGGAAGTCACTTATTTTTCTCCTGATGGACGACGTTTTAAACAGTATCATGAAATATTGAGGGTGAGTAGCAGCATTTATTGACCCATAATAGAAAGTAAAGAAAAGGAAAGAAAAAGAAAAGGAAATGAAAGAAAAAAGAAAGAAAACAAACCAAAAAAAAAAAACCTTCAAAAAACAACAAAAATGAAAGAAAAAAAACAACAACAACAAAATATGCTGTTGCAAAATGTGGAAAAGAAACCTCTCAAGATAAATGGCTGTCTGCTTCAAAGATATTAAAATGTAGTTGCATTATTGTTTCTTCTTTTCATATTCATTTACAGAAACAACTCAGTTTACTAGAACAATTTATTACAGTATTGTCAGAAAATAATGTTACCTGTGACATTTTTGCTGTATTGATAAAAGTGTCATGAGGAAATTTTGTAGTAAGTGGAAAACTTTTTAGTTATGTTTTGCTTTGAGATAAAAGACATGAAAGTGGAATTGATGGCCTTTGTCTTGTGCAGTGTAGGATCCATGATGAGGAAATGGGTTAAAGGATTTGTGTGAAATCTATTGTTGGTGGTGATACTACTATTTTGGTGAAGCTAGATTTGACTTCAGAGGCTAATTGCCACCGAAGGTTATTGTGGATTTTAATGTTGAGTTGATGAAGAAAAGTTACACAATTATATTACCCTTTATTTCAAAATATGGTGAACAAGTTGCTGCATGACTCCTACTATTTTTAATTAGTTTAATAAAGACATACAGTGAAATTAAACTTATCTGAATTAAATGGAAATTGGTTCAATTTGGATAAGTTCAGGTCATTGGAGAAATCTTAGAAATAATGCAAAAAGGATGTTAGGCTTAACAAAGTCATAACTTCAACATTCATGAAATGAGGATAAAAATTAATTTACCTTAGTATTTAAAAACAGAGCTATTAATGAGATTGGCAATTGCACTTCCCTTTTAGATTCACGTGAACAATTGTAATCAATAATTTATCTGTATTTGTTACAATAAATACTTTGTTGCAAAGTCTTCTCAGAGCCTAAAATTCTTTGTTTTTATAATTATGTTATTGTCATTTTAAAATAAATGCTTCATTTGTATATTCATTAGTATATATAGTAGACTTGGTATCAAATTGAAACTACAAATTACGGAACAAAATACAAATTAATGAACACATTTGTTGCAGTCTCAGAAAGACGATTAAAAGGAATGTGGCAATGTCAAATGACAAGCTTAATATTTGATAAGTGTATTTGATGATTATTGAATTCAGAGAAGCCCCAACATTCCTAAAATCAATTGTGGCATCACACAGCAATGCATACAGTGGCAACTAATTTATACATATGTGCATACTCATTTTTAAATAAGTGTTTTTTCCCTGATGGTTTCTGTAGTGAACAAAGAGCCTCATTTAATCAGGATGCAGATAATTATGTCTTCTGTAGTTACAGTTGCGGGGGGAATGTATATGGATTTTGAATATATAATATTTTCAATTAATTTTTAAATCCCTTTGCTGTTTGGTGCAGAAATACTGTTGTAATCTTAAATCCGAGTAAGAACAAAACTATCACCATTACCAGCTCTAGATTGGTAGTTTACATGGATGAAATTCTATGGTGTTGGAGAGGGTGACATCCGTGAGAGATTATACTTTATGATTATCAAGCCAGTACTGAGGTACTGATCAGTTGTTTGTTAACCTTTTTTTGCGAACAATACAAATAGAGTAGAAACTGTTCAGCACAAGTTTTTCAGGATTGCTGCACATGGTACAGGGTTTGAAGATTCCTTCATTAATCATGAATATGGCTAGATATCCATTAGGTTGAATATTGCAGCACTGAAATTGAGCAGGGAAGTTGTGGATGTGGGTTTTTTGTGTGAGAGATGCTCAATAGTAACCTTGATTGCCGATTTTTGCTGAATTAGTTGGAATTTTTAGAGCGCCAACTTTTTGGTCTAGAACAACATAGACATTAACAGAGTGTGTAATGCTACTGCTATTGAGATAAAGTTGATTGAGAAATCTGATGTGTTTTTATCAACAATGTCAGGAGCATATTCTATAAATTCAAAAGTCATTATTTTGTAAATTTTGAATGTCTTTATTTTGTGTTTTTTCCGAGTGTAAATTTTTTGTTTATTACTTTACAAGCAAATATTACATACTCTACATTAAAATTTTGTGTATAAAGTTGGCCAATTATTTTTGAAATATAATTTTTTTTTAATTATTCAAATGTATATCATCATTTGGATGGTAGCAAGAACACCTTCCTTTTGTTGACAGTTTCTCTGGAAGCAGAATGTCACTGACCTTACCCGTGACAACTTCAGCTTTTCTTCAAAAGTGCTGCTGGGTGATTTTCTGCAACCTGCATCAAGTCCAACAGAAGAACCCTTGCGTCTGTCAGAGGAACAGGTTCTACGCCGTCTGGAAGAAATACGTGCTGCTCTTGGTAGTGGCAGTCGTCAACGACATAGTTCAGCTGCAAAGTGAGTGAAAATCTTTTTATTACACTTCACCTTGAGAAAGCATAACGTATACTAGTTATTTGCTTGAAAATATGTATTGTGATTTTTTATAAGATATTAATTCAGCAAACCTTGTAATTTACGTTTTACTCTCATATACAACAATTTCCTTTGGTACCAATGTAAGGCCTATGTTTACTACATTTCTTTCAAACCATTAACAACTAGATATGAAGAATACTTCCTGTAAACCTATTTTGGTAGCCATTTTTAAATTGATTTTGGTGCAAGTTTTGTAGCTATTTCTGGGTGTGTTAGTGACCCATAGCTACCTGCTTTGAGTCCATTCTGCAGTGTGTGCACTATTGCATTGATGATTGCTTCAAATTATTGTGATGAATGGTAATTGTTTCAAATGATTGTGGTGACTGGTCATTGTTTCAAACTGTGTAGTGACTGGTGATTATTTTGAATGTAATGGATGAAAATCCAAGGAGGTGACATGGAGAAAAAGGAAAAACGATGCATTTCTGTTGAAGAAAATATGAAGATGTTATGTTGTGTAGATTTGCACGTGAGAATACATGTTTCATTAGAAAAAGGAAATTCAACTATTAGTCTACAGGAAAAGCACTGCCATTTTAAAGAGAATGAGCATCGGAATTTTTGCAAAAGAGTGGTGCTATGTCAATGAAGAGGAAATATATATTTAGACATCAAACTATGCTGAATTGGATGTCTTGTGGTGGAGTGGTTAGTTTGCAGCCGAGCAGTGGTCTTCAACCCACAACCTAACCACTCTTTGATGGCCCTCAAATAAATAATTATTTTATCTACAATTCTGCCCATTACTTAAATTTTTAGCTTATTCAAGCCAATATTGACAATTAATATCAAAGAAACAGGTCTTGCTTTAAATTCAAAAAGTTACAATGCTTTGTGTTATTTATTTACATTGCAAAGAGGAAGGCAAAATATAAAACATACTGAAATACTTCTCTTTATTCTCACTTTAATTTATTAATTTTTCTTCCAATAATTATTCCTTGTCCTCTCTATATCTCTATTTGAGTTTAAATTTGGCTAGCTCATTTTAATGCAAGGCACAGTAATACTTACTTCTCAGAGTCTGAATACATTGTATTCTTCTTCAGTAGACTGAAAATAAGTGTTCTTACAACTGTCCACGGCTGGTAATAATTTTTATGACTTTTGGAATAAAAACAGGAATTGGTGGTTTTTCTACTATTCAAACATACTAATTAATAATAACAAGTGATTTTTTACTGAAATTACAGCAGTGTAAGGATTATCTACTGTAACTAATTGTTTAATAAATTAAATCTTTCACTCTTTTGAGATAATGGAAAAAATTAAATGTTTATCTTTGGATACAGATTAACAAGAATAATTTATCTTTAAATTAGATGGCCATTGTCACTATTCTTCTCATTAATCTATCATCATCATCAATAAATTACCAGAAATTAGGCTCTATAGCCTGTTTCTGTTGGTTTATTATGGCATTCTTGGTAGATTCTCAGTCTTGCAAGTGTTCCTGCTGCTGCCACCTCTTTAGTGGTCTCCTTCTCTGATCCCTGTTGGTTTGTACTTCCAGATTAATTTTGGAAATCTGTTGTTGTTCATTCTCTGTAAATGATCTTTCCATCTCCTTTTAGACTTCTATATCTTCTACTAAACATTTGGTTTTTAATTTTTTTCTCAATGTCTTTATTTCTGAGTCTGTCTTTTCTTGTGATTCTCACGAGATGTCTTGAGAAATCTCATGTTGGCCACCTCTGGTATTTGTTTGTCTATCTCTTTCATTACCTATGTTTCAGAGACATACATGATTCTAGATTTAGCAGCTATATTGTAGAGTTCCAGTTTTGTTTCTGGGTCCATGTCTCTGCCAAAGTGTCTCTTGATTGTTCCAAATATTCTATTGTAATTATTAAGTTTGTTTTCTATGTCTTCCTGAGTTTGGTTATATACACTTATGATATTTCCAAGGTATGAAAATTTATGTACTTCTTCCACAACTTTTCCATTTATTACTATTTTGGCTTTCCTTTGTTCATTGCCTTGTATTGCCATAACTTTTGTTTAATGAATTACTATCTTCATGGAATCTGGCTATCTGGATATTGGCTCTCCTTCTTAAATTTAAATCAGAAAAAAAATCTTCTAGGTTGTGGCCTTACATCCAACTCCTGCTGAGACACATTACATTCTGATCAAATTTTTAATTCAAGCTGCTCCTCTTGCACTTGCCTGTGTCTTATTTTCACTGTTCCTTTTTGCCTGTTTGATACTATTCTGTCCTAATCTACTGAACCATTTGAGTTCTTTTGTCTTGGCAATAATGTCTTTTTAAAAAAATATTTTTTCTCCCAATTATTATTAAAATATTTTAAATAATCAGTGTAAATTATTTCTATTTAGTTCTTCGGCAATTATATCCCCCCCAATCATGTTCCTTCTCATATTTACCCGGAATTACCTAGTTTTGTACTCAAAATTCGTTAACATATTTTAATGTATCTTTTATATATATTTATATACTGTTTTATAGTAGTTTCCTGCACTTAATACTTTTTTCATCAGTCCATAGAAAAGCATTAAAGCAGGTTTTCACTGTATAGGTATTATTCTGCATGGACATCAATCAAGAACAAGTCGGGGAATCAAAAAGATCAGAATGTTTGGTATTCCTTGAAAACATTTTACAATTGTCAATTTTTTTTATTACTGTGCAAATTTTGTAATTTCATTGCATTTTCTGAGTTGACCTGTTTTGTTAAACATGAAATTCATGTCATGGGAAAGGATGTGGCAAGGTGATAATTCATTTGAGAAAAAAATTAATTCTTGTATTGTGATGAAAAGTTTCTTTCTGGGGGTCAAACTGTAACTTAACATCTAACAAAAATCCTTTCTGTGGACACATGCTAAAAATTGATTTTTAGCAATGCCTTATCGATAATGACCTGCTGCTGCCAGGCAGCCAACTTTAATTTTCCTTAAGTCATTCATTTTTCATTGTCATCATGTATTTGGTATTGGGGTCAGTTAATGCTCTTTGAACATAATTGTGCCATACACATAGACCATTTTTCTTATGGCATCCATCATTTGACTATTGTGTAGTTCCAATTGCTGTCTTACCCACCCACCAACTGACATGACTGTAGGGGGGACAGTTCAGAGAGCGATACACAATGAGTTTTGCTCTCAAGATTCTGTACTATATGGTACATCTGTAGTTAGTAAATTAAATTTTATTCCGCATTTGCAAGTGATGTACTTTGTTCCTCTAGCATAGAACCATGGTTGAAACTAATACGTATACTCCTATTTATACATGTGGCCCTTCAAGTCATAATGAAGCTCTCGATTGGAATGACCGTTTCCCCCTCTCAACCTTGAAGTACCTATGTTTAAATTGGAATGTAGTCCTATTATTAATTGGTAAATTTTTATACCTTTAAATGTCCGTGACTTCTGTTTATAATTGTGCCTTTTTGTACTTTGTGTTCACATTATTCGAAACATGCAGTACTTGGAACTTCAACAGAATCTGTTTTTATTTTAATTTATTTATCTGCTTCAGGGTTTTTGAATTAATTAATAACTTCCTTATTTCGCAAAATAATGCATTTACTGTGATATTAAGTTCAATAAAAGTCATTGTGCTTCTAATAATTGAATCATTTGACCGTTATTGACAGGATTGAACAAGCAAGACTTGCACAGGAGCATAGGTTGGCCCAGCAAGCAGAAAGGGAGAAGGCTGCACAAGCGGCAAAGGAAGCCAAGCGTCTTGCCAAAGAAGAGGCTGCTCGCCAAAAGGAGCAAGTGAGGTTGGTTTTCTGTTTCACGTCTAGTTGTTGTTGACTAAATAATGATCTAAGTCCTTGGCAACCTTCCATGAGCCAAATGTTTTTGAAATTAGCTCTTTTTAAATTAATGCCAAGATAAGATTTCACTTTATTCTACTATGCACCCCTTGTAGTGTAAAATGGTCATTGAGCATTCACAGAATACTTGTTTCAGTGAAGCAAGAAGAATATAAATAGAAAACTTTAAGATACTATTTTTTAAAAAATCCATAGAAAGGTGTGGTAGATGAAACATTTGTTTCTTCAATGGTATTTGAAAAAAAAAATGCTTGCAAGTATATATTATTATAATCAAATTAAATCAATTTTTAATTATTTACTCATTTTATAAATTTAAATTTATAATTTATTGTTATTTAATTGCAGAAGTAAGTTGAGAATCCAGATTTAGAAGGGACCAGACTCAGTGGTGTGTCTGGGGGTTTCATGTTAGGGAAGCAACTGAAAAATTGATTCTTAAAGGATAATTATTACCTCTTATTTGATAAGCAATCTTCTAGATTTACTAAAGAAATCTCCTAAAATATCACCTTAAAACATTGGTCTTTGACACTTTTTCAAAAATAAATCTCTACTTTATGGAAAAGAAAGCCAAATTTGACACCCTTTCTTGTGACATCTGGAGATTTGTCTGGATTCTTTAATATGACCAGAAACTCGTCTCAACAGAAGCACTCTGTAGTCATTGTCAAAAACAACTTGCAAATTTTGCTATTTTTGCATACGTAGAATCTAATAGATTATTTGTAAGAAATTGCAGGGCATCACAGTTTTCCCCTTATGAAAATTCTTTCTTTTTTTACCTAAAGAAAACTGATAAGTCAGATTTAAGAGATGAGAAATCAAAGAAGTTTCTGAAGTTCTTCAGAGGACAATCAGAAGCAGATTGAGGTTAGGGTGCATTGTGATGTTCATGCAAATCAGCCAATTAAAGATATTTTTAAATTTTCAAAATCATCAATTCTTGACAGTGTTAAATGTTAACGGTTGTCTCACAAAATTTTATTCTGTAAGAAACTTTTATGGGAAGTTTCTTTGTTGTTTTTTTTGGTTTAAATTCTAAAAGGTCAACTATTCTCAGTCTTATCCCATTCATGATGAAAATTGTAACTCATACAGGAAATAAAGTTGTTTGATTTCTATAATTGTGTGCATGTGTAAGCTGATGTCATTTGTTGTCTGCAGAATATTGAACAAAATGAGCAGCATCTGTGGTTCATCTATTATAATTGAAAGAAAGCTATTTTTGATATTTCTTCTGTAATGTAATTCTGAATTAAAATGGCAATTGAAGTAGTCAAATCATTTCATATGGGATTTACCCTGAAATTTTAAAGTGCTTTCCAAATGAGAATTTATTATTAGATTATATTTTCCCTGTATTAACTGCACATGTTTGTAATTTCCTTTATTAATTGATACACTAGTTTCATTGTGGCCTCTGAAACTAGTTCATTGAAACCCAGGAAGCCAATACTTTCAATAACCTTTATTGAAATTCACGATTTTTCTTTACTATATCATTGAATGTTTGGTTGCTGAGTTTTAATTATTCAGCATGTGATTAATTCTTTGTGCCTTGTAAAATGTTTTTTGTTTCTATAGCATTGCAAATAGTTGTAGCAAGCAGAATTACTCTTCATAGCCTTGAGACTATAATTCGTATTTGTGAAACACATAGAGTATAACTGCATTTAAATACTGAATGTATGTTTTCACTTTTGTTCTAAGATTTGTTAATAAAGGAGTTGGCCTACCTCTTTCTATTATTTCTGTCCTTTCACCAAAAGTACAGGACAAAAACACTCAATTCACTATGCTACACACAATACAACACGATTTTTGATTTTAGAAAATACCTAAAACATTCGTAAATCAGTCTGATGGTTATCAAAGTAGAGCGGAAGAATAAAATCATGAATCGAGTGAAATTTTTACGATTTTAATTACAGAAGTGTTGAGGTGCCCCCCTCCCCTACATTCTAAACAATACCTGCCCCGAAACATTTCGCTGGGATTTATTTATTATATACTTTGGTATTTATATATTATTATTATTATTATTATTATTAATTGACCATCAGTATAAAGAATAATATATGTAAAATTAATGTAACAAGATTAATGAAAATCATACTATTTTTATGTATTGTTTCTTATTCACTATGCTTTGTATAACAAATATTGCTCTGGATTTATGGCAAATGACCTGTGAGCCTTCAGTTCATTTATTTCTGAGGCAAGGAGTTATTGTGTGTCCAAAATTTTTGTTTCAGTATTGCTACAAAGAAGAGTTGCATGCATTGTCATTGTGGGCATAATTTGAAGTCTTAAGTTGTGGGGGTGAAAAACTAAAATTAATTTATTTGTAGATTTCAAATGAAATATTTATTTCTATGTTCATAATGCATTACTGTCACAGAGGCCCAACAGTCTTCCAAAAATTATTGAGCATTCCACATGCATTAAAAAAAATTATTTTGCAGATAAAATGTTTATAATGTTTAAAATAATTGTAAAATTGCTTATTAATATACATTTTACAAAGGTGTACCAATTCAACAAAGCTCAAAATATTCAGAGGGACTCCCCCCCTACTCTCTTTATGTTGCATTATTTCTTCCCTCCTTCTCTTAAGGTAAAGTGATATCATATAAGATATATCAGGTCTTATCTTATATATTAAGTAAAATTTAATATATTAGTAAAAATAAATATTTTAAATGTTAGGTTGTAATCAATGGAGTATATTTTAAACAGGTTTAATTTTGTGTATGATTTTTACCTTTATGATTGAAAATGTAAGTGATATTTATTTTTCTCGCAGGTTGTTGAAAGAACAGGAACGTTGTGAACGTCAAGAAGCTGTTCGCCGTGAACGTGAACAACGCAATTTGCAGATGATGGAGGTAACAATCGTCAACCCTTCTCTTCACTCTTTCCCTTTCATTTCTTTATCATCAGTTTCTTCTGCCTGTCCTACTCCACTTTCCTGCCAATGTCCACTTATAAACCTCCAAACTGTGTGCTCTGTCATACTTTGTCTTGTGTTGCTCTGACTCTGTGAAAAAGATTGCTTAGCATGAAGCAGTTCCTTGTCATTTTTTTATATATATATACATATGCTGGAGTTTGTGTGTAGGTTCATGTCAGCATATAGTTTTAAATGTTGACATGGGCCTTGCTTACTTGTGGTTTGGTGTCTCAAGTTTCCCAGATGTTGATGTTTTTTCATCTTCTGTGTTCAAAGCTGTATATGTGTGTGTGTGTATATATATATATATATGTATTTATACATATGTTGGTGAGGGTAGGGTTGTGGCTTACTGTACATATATACATAATGCACACGAGGGTTGGTTTGGTTGTGTATTTTTTATTTGTTATTGAAAGTGGGAGAGAACCCACAAGAAGCAATACACTTCCGAAATAAATTGACAACCTGATTCTTCCGGGGACTCAGAGACACGAGAGAGGTCCTGTTAGGTAGGATAGGTAGCTTAGAAGTCCAGGGATCATTTTTCCCAGGCAGAGTGTGTCCCTCCATGTGGCTATTAGCATCTTCAAATCTTACAGGAGGTGCAGCTTAAAGGGAGGAAGAATTGTGCTGGTTGCTTGGTTATGTATGGTAACTGGTGTTTTTTGAGATTTCCATGCTATAGGTGAAAAGTTGAGAAGCAATCAATGTACTTCTATGTGTGAATAAGTCGTGATCACAAAATATATTAATAATGGTATGACTTTGTATCTAATTAGATCATCAAAAATGTATGTAGAATTCTAGACGTGTCATAAAGAAAAAACAGAGAAAGATTATATTTGTACCATGCAAGAGATATCAATATATTGAAATATTTCCTACAGTTATACTTATTGTAATTCATTGACTATTGTTCATCACTACGTTATTTTCTCAACAAGTTTGTCATCTTCAAGTAGAGGATAGCAGTAGAGTTTGGCAGGATGTATTATATGCTATTGTACTTTTGTCATAAGTAATTGAAAACTTACTTGTTCTGGAAACTCCTGATGCTGCTTTCTCTGAACTAAGTGCACACTCGCCACACCTTTAATTTTGAACAACCTTTGACTGTTGGTCTTTATAAATCACTGTTTTAGATTTGATGAGTTCTTCTTGTACAATATTTCTATATGAATTGTTCATTTTCTTTTTCACATTTCTCAATTTCATATGTTTTAGTGTGTGATTATATTATTTTAAAATATTTCTCCTAAGAAAGTAGTCCATTTTGTTTTAAATTATCTCCTGAATAATTGAAATCGCTATCCCTTCTTCACTACTATGTATTCTGGGTATTGCTACTTTCATTTCAATTTTTCATGTGCCGTTTTGAAGAAGTTTTCCATTTTTATTATTTTGTCTAGTTCATGATTCTGTAATATTTGTTGCTGTGTCAGATGGTATAGTTGCTGTACTCTTCTATTTGTATTGTTTTTTGTTGCGTCCATTCATTGGAGTGAGCACGGAAAATTAATGGTTTTCTGCAAAAAGCAATCCCTGGATCATCGGGGAATTACCATAGACAACCAGGCAACCATGCAAGAAAGAATGACTACTGTTGCGAAGTCCAGGGATTTGGTCCCAGGCACCACTTACCCTAGATGCCTCATTCAACTTCCATTTCTTCCAATAATGCCTTATCCTATTTCAGATGTAGCAATGGGATTCATTTGGAAAACCTGTTTCAAACAGAACATGACCATTTCCTTGGTGCCTTTCTTCTCTGGAAGCTGAGTGCATTTGTACCTTCATGTCCTTTTAGTTCAGAATTATTAGTAACTGATGGTTTGTTAGGTAATGAACCGGATGTCTAGTAGCAGAATTGTAGCAAGGAATTGGAATTGAAACCTTGGGACAGATTCTTCCATTAAGAATTCCTATAGCTTCTTCTGTGATCACCGTATGTACTAACACAGCAGTTAACTTCCAATTAAGGAAACTGCAATGGGGAGTTCATCATTACAGATAAACGGCAGTTTCTGTTGTGAGGTATCCTATTATCGGTAGTTTTCTGAAAATGTAGTTGTCCTCACTGTTAACTGTCTTGTTCATACTTACTGTGACAGAGAATTAGTACATCTGTCTTTTTTCTTTCTCAAAATCTGATACCATCCTCAGTATTTTCCAAATTCCGACGTCGATTTTCCTCTCCAATCCAGGTAGCTGAAGTGGGCAAACTTTCTACATGGCAAGTCATATGAATAATTAACAGTTCCATTTCTGTATTACATCAAAATAAATCTTACTTTAAAAATAAATCCTGCAAATAGTTTTAATGGTCTTCTGTTTACCTCAGACTTAACAATGATAAATTTGTTTCCTGCTAGGGTTTTTTATTATAAATGGTTTTCATTTTTGATGGTCCATTTTCAAACAAAAATTGTTCTTCAGGCAGAATGAACAAAAAGAAATACAGTGAAACCTAACTTAAACAGTCACCAATGGTTCTTGCAAAAATTGGCCGTTAATTGTGATTCCGCTTGATCAAAGTCATGAGGGTACTGGAATCTCTATTAATTGCAATTCAATTAACAACATTCTCTTTAACATTGTTAATTACTTTTAACCACAAAATACAATTTAAACAAGGTATTTGGGATCATTTGCCTCCTTGGTTAATATCAAAATACACCCTTGACTTGTCACCCATTATCATAGTGGAGAAACTTCCACTATCCATTCTCTTTGAATCTATCGCACTAAACTGAAAGGTGCTTTCAATTCATATTCTGTAGAAACTTTATAGCTGGGCTTTGTAATGAAGTAGTTGGAGAAAGACCTTAAGATGGAATTCATAGTGTGCTCTGTGTGTCCTTAACAGATTCCCAGAGAAGGGAAGCCCAACATAGTAAACCATAGGAATGCTGTGAAATGGCAAAAATGAAAATGCTGTTCCAATAAGAGATATTTATTAGAATTATTTACATTCGAAAGTAACTCCCCTGTGACATAAGTGGCTCGGGATGTCATTATTCGAAGTAATGGGTTCCGTTATTCAAAGATATTAAATCAACAGTAATCTCCACGCTTTGCTGCTTCTTGTTATAGACAGTTCAAAATCACTTGAGGTGACTAAATGGCAATCTATGAAATGTGCCTGGCTGCTGGCCACTTACCCAGATAGCTGCTGAAGAGAGGGAATATTTATATATGTCGTATGAAGAGAAAAAAGAGAGAGAGAAAAAAAGAAAAGAAAACAGGGGGGGGGGGAGAGCCATTAGTAGAGAGAACTGTTTATAGAAGTTGTTTGAGCAGGTTTCACTGTATACATTAAAATCTAAAGGCCTATGTTAAAAACGGTGTAAAACTCTCTTCTTATGTATTCTATAGTTGATGAAGTTGAACAAATTGAAATGTGAAATGAAAGTATACGTACTGTGATTGATTATGAAGAATTGTATAGTTAAACATCCGTATTTGCTTTATTTTGACCAGGTTTAAAAAGTTGAATATATTAGGAAATGTTCTTTGATAAGTACATCTGAGGGCCAGTACAGGATCTCGCCTGCCAGTCCATGAACCGTAGTTTGCCCACGCCTACCTTTGAACATCCTTCAAGTCCTTTTCCTCCCCCCTCAGCCTGGCTCAGCCTGTGATGTGTCTCAGGGCCGCAAACGACTCGCGTTCTCCTTGGAACAAAAGATGCACATCATCCGAGAGATAGAGCGCGGGCAATCCAAATCAGACGTGAGTCGCAAGCTAGGCTTTGCCCGCTCTACTGTCGCCACTATCTGGAAGCATCGTGCTGGTGTCCTCTCGGCATGCCGTCAAAATGGCATCACGATTCCTGATGATGCTGACAGCGAGGTGATCCATGCTTCAGCACGCCAGCAACAACGACAGCAGCAGCTGCAAAGGCAACAGAAAGAAGCCGCCAGTGCAAGAAATTTTACCGGCTCGGACCGGAATGCAAGCTTGCTGCTGGAAGCAGCTACGGTAAGATGGCCGCCCTCCGTCCCACCCCTACCATTGCCACCTTGAGTGGCATCAAATTCTCTTGTATCTTCTGATCCTTCCTTGTCTGCCTACATTCTGGATGTCTTCACACAGTCTTCAAATATTGTTGTCGTGTCGAAGTAATTCAGATGTCTTCTGATTAGTAACTACTTATTTCCATAATAAAATTTGCTTATTAAGAAGCACTAAGAAAATATTGGTTTTATTGGAATTGACTGCATATGCAGTTTATTTTCTAATCAATTTTCTTCCAAAATGTGAAATTCAGTATCCTTCTTAACTATTTCTTCTATTAATATTTTTTAAATCATATTTGTATTTAGTAATACTGTTTTTCATTTATTCACATGTAAATTATTTTGTTTCAACTTCTCTGAATGAGAAAAATGTGTTTTGTGATCTCTTATAACTTCTGAAAAGTATTATTAATTTTTGAGTCATAAGGGTATTGATTGAAATAAAATGACTTGATTGAAAAAAACCAACGAACATACAAACAAAACAAAACACCTTATTTTCATATTTTATACTGAAAATTCCTTTCTATGGGAAAATTAAAAGAATGTTTTTCTTGATCCAGTGAAAATCTAATACCTGTTACTGTGTGAAGACACCTCCACGTTTTTTTTGCCTGGAGCAAATACGATTGCTTGACTTACCTTTCTTTCCTATCCTAATGCCTTTTGAGTGTTCTTTGCAGAAACAGTATTCTAATTAGAAGCCCTGAATCTTTTGTAATGATGTAATGTGGGTAAAATCACAAAATAATGATTCTGTGAATTACATTGTATGTGATGATTAATGTTCTTTCGGTTAACACAAAACCAAATTCTAATATTCATTGAAAGAAAATCCTTTGTATTTGCAAATGAAAAAGAACATAGACTCCTCTCTATTTTTTTATTTCTTTATTTAATTGATTTTGTTATATGTAAAGAACACTGCAAATTAATTTCTCTGACCTTGCTTATTCCTATCCTTCATTGTTTACCAACATGAACATCGAAGTGTGCTGCCATATAACCCAGCCTGGGTGGAGGTTTTATATTTTTGAGGATGGCATGACATGTTGACAATTGCTACTACCACCTGTATACACGGCATGTCAAAGCAATGCCCTTAGCAGGCCATTGAGCGCGTTATTGGTATATTGAGTTCCTAACACTTATATTTGAAATGTAGCAGGGAACAGGTCTTTGATGAATTGAGTAGGCTAACCACAAGTAGCTGAGACAGAAAGAGTAGAAATTGCCCACACAAGTACAACAGGCTGAACTTCTCGCTCGACGCTCACTCAAACTAATGCTGTACTGTAGTAGTCTTTGATATGTCTGGCACCTACCTGTCTCTCTTTGTGAGATTGTAAACACCAAAACATTTCTTATTTCCATTTCCCTGGTTCCATTTCTTCACCTTCTCCATGAAGTTGTATGTCCCCCATTAAGTATGGTCATGTAGAATTACCGGCAGATGGTCTTGTGAAATTTTATGTATAGTAAGGAATACTATTTATTACTTTATACATTTCCTAATATTCATATGGTTTATTTATTATAAAAGAGCCCTAAAAATGAATACTCATAATAAAATAGCAAAGACAATACCATATAATGGAGATTTATTCCAGGAGTGTTAATGAATTTATTATTGAATTAACTATACAAATGTGTTATTGAAACTTTTTCTAGGAAATGATCTTAAGTTTTTCATAGAATAACTACTCGAGCATAGCCTAATATATGTGCACTATTTCATGGAAATATTTCCTTTGGAATATCATATATCATGTTTCAAAATGTACTAATGTACTATGTCAATGAAAATAAAAACAACCACAAAAACTTCATTTTATTCTTTTCTTATTTAATGTAGTTTAGTAGTATAAGTAATTTGCCGGTTCATGTACATGACCTTCTGAAATGACATGCATGGGTGGGGGGCGGTTCTATGAAAAAGTTATTCCTTGTGCAACATTGAAGCCTACTTCCCTTACCCCCATGCGTTAGGTGAGAAATAGGTGGCTAGGGAAGGTGGCAAAGAGTGAGGCCCCTTTGTACCAACAAGAGTTGTAGAAAAGAAACATAACCACTGCTGGATACTAGAGGTTGTCAATTTATTTCATGGTGACATTAAGAACACAATGGTATTTCACATCTCTGCTGGAATATTGGAAGGTTGTGGTGCTACACACTTATTTTAACCAGGGTGGAACTCTCCCTGGCCATTACCTGTCATAAGCTGCAAATACATGGTACTAATTGGGTACATTATACGATGTTATCTCTGGTGTATATTGTATTATATAGCATATTGGTCCCATTTTTAAGCCCCTTCCAATATATTTGTGATGTACAAAGAACAATCCTGTAAAAAAAAGTACCCAGTCATTAATTTTCTTAGGATATTACCTTCTTAATATGATTTTTACACACTATGTTTGTGCTTCAGCATAGTATTTATTCTTAAATTTCTTTGTGAGAAGTTGTCAGTGCTGGCACTGCGTGTGGAAACAGTCTTGTTACAGATAGAATAACAAGTGATTGAACAGTACCTTTCTTTGCAATTACTTTGCTACTGTATATATTTAATTTAATAATTATCTCACACAAATATGATAGGACTTGTATATTCTTAAATATAAACTAATTACAATATATTGTACACTTCACAGTTGACAAATGTAATTGGTTAGGTTTATGGTATGTATTTAAACATTCATATAGTTGCTTTGTTTCAGTTACATTTAAAGAGGCAGAAATGATGTGACTGGAGAGCTATGTAATGCAATGTATTCCAGATAAAACCATACCTTAACTGTTTTACCTATTTCCTTCTCCCTAATTAATTAACCCTAACGTGCTGGATATTGGTAATACATGTAACTTTTGCACTGCTATTGCATGTATGTTTATTGTAGGTAGGAGCACTTATTTCTATCAGTGTCTGTTCACTCAAATAGCACAATCATCTAACTACTGTTGTCTTGACTCTGCTGTAAGTGTTGCATATTGGGAATAGAGCCATATGTGCATTTGTAAATTGAGGATAGATATGCAATATTGAAGTTTCTTATTGAAAGGCAGCTTATGTCTTTCCTGCCTATGTGGTTGCATTAGTTCTTTCCTCCTGTGACTGCCATCGGCAAAAGTGTTCATTTAACAGGTTTAGTTGTAGCCACAATGTCTAAATCTGAGTGTTTGTCATCATAACATTTGCTTCAAGATTTAGCAGAATTGTGTTGGAAGTTATTTCATCTTTGTGGTATGATAATAATTAACTTGATATGATAATGACCAGCAAAGACATTTGCTACTTCAACACCCAAGTATCTACATATGTGTGTATTTCAATTCTGAGCATGAGGTTTGTGCTAATTGATATTGATCCCTGCCACCTTTGGCCTTTCCTGCATGGTGAAGACTTCTTGAATTTTCATAATTTCCAGGATTGTGTACATCAAGAAAAACAAAACAAAAAAATTGAGTTTCTTGTACCGTCTCAGTTTGATAGAATGTAGACTTAGCCATTAATAGTTGATTTTAAGTAAAGGTTTTATATGTTTATCTGTGATGTGAACCAGTCAGTATTATGCAAGAGTAGAGAAGAACTACTCTGTTTTGGAGTTCAAATTCCTTAATTTTGTCATTGTTCCAATGGTTTAGAATAGACATTTTCAAAAATGCGTTTCTGTTCCAGTGCAATTAAAGTATTTAATTGGATTTTATTGAGGAAATTTTATATTATACTTGTTTGATTCATGCATATTCACTGGAAATGAAATTGAAATTTATTCATGTATATTATGTTGTATGTAAAATGCATGTTTCAAAAAAGGAGCAAAGACAATGAATTGATTTTATTTTTTTGGTGGATGGTGGTTCTTTCTTCCAAATTTTGTGTGGAATGAGCATGATGAATGTTCGAGTAGTTTTCTTGTGGAGCATTTTTTTTAGGTCCAGGTGAGATAAAAGTGCTGTTTTATATTTGCGATTGAGGAGTTAAAATTGTTTGTGCATGTTGATCACATTTCATAATTACTATATGCTGTATTTATGACTCGAATATCTACTGGCACACATACTTAAATTAAAAGGAACATAAGGAAATATGGAGGTATGTAACTTCATTACTGTTATGGTTTCTTTATCATATTGGTCAAATGGAATTCTCCCTTTGTGTTTCCTCTTGTTTCTTCCCAAAAGGTTGGTTATAGAGACAAATATTTTTATTAATATATGTAGTAAAATCTCTTCATATGTGAACGAGCATTTATTAGTTGATGTTTACTATTATTTTCTTTCAATGCAAGGGTCCTATAATCTTTACAAAAACAGAACATTCGAAGTTTATGTAAAGTTTCTTTCACGATTCTCTTTTTGTTATCAAATTTCCAACATTCAAGTTTTCTAGGAAGATATCAGTGAGGGGAAAGATGTAGATTCTGCAAGCTCTTGCAATATTCAAGTATAATTTTATAGAAATTCTACCTAATTTACCGATTATATACTATCTAGATTCAATGAAATGTTCGGGGTCCATGATAAGAATACAATGTTCTCTAAATTTGAAAATAATTAAATATTTATGCACGATTAGAGGATTAATTTTTTCTATTTATATTTTTCAATTTGATCTCTTCAAATTTGGCATTACA